TGACAAATGCCCACCCCTGTGTTCGAACCAAGGCTGTCTGTAGAGTACTTCCCGCATGTGACATAAGGGCACCATCTAGGACTTAGCTCACCCAGCCTCCTCACAATGTTTGTGAGCTGTTTGTTTGTTCAGGAAATTCCCTGTCATCATTTATGGAGTTCCCCCAAGCTCTCTACTGCCCTTTCTCCTCATTTAAAGGACTTCAGGCTGCATCTACAACCAGCTGCCCTCTCTCAGCCTTGGCTTCCCTTCCTCTTTGCAGGGGTTCCCTGCAGTCCTTTCACCTACCGCTGTGAAGATGGGACCTGTGTGAAGAAACCCAACCCCCTGTGTGACACCACTGCAGACTGCAAGGACCTGTCTGATGAGAATCACTGTGGTGAGGAAATGATCAGCCACGCGGCAGGCAGGTTCAGGATGACACGTAGCTGCAAGTTGCCCCATTTTCTCCCACCACCCAGAAGAAGCACCCACACTCCCTTGTTCCACCACCTTCTCCCCACCTCAGTCCCACAGTACCAGTGCCCCTGCTCCACCCTGCAGTGGCAGGGACAGCAGCAACAAGCCAATTCTGTGCTGAGTGCGAGAAAGCTCTTGCTCTTTGTACAGCTGCTCCCTGCCTCCTTCAGGCAGAGGCATCAGGCCAGACAGATATGTCTCACAGGCCAGGTTCAACCCACAGGCTGCCTGTTTGACCACTGTGTTGGCTTATATGCTATTGTACAAGGCTCCAGCCAGGAAAATCACCCAGTGGTCTGCATGGCCACTGGCAGGGAGAGAGTTAATGTTTTGATTTCCCTACTTGTTTTTTTTCTGGAATCTCAGTAGGCAGTGAAGGGGAATGACCAGGAGGGTTTCCTGACAGCACAGCAGTTAGCACAGTCAGCATGCTGCCCCAAAGGCATTCCCAGGCTGCAGCTGGAGGTGGGGAATGCTGGGAGGGAGTGCTCACTAGACCTGTCCTGGGCAGTACATAAACTATGTGCTGGCTGGGTAAGACAAGCAATTAGATGTCAGACTCTTCAGTCAACTAAATAGGAAAGGAAGGGCAGGCACAGTATTTCATGTTCCCTTCCTTCCCTGAAGTACCTGCTATGTCTCCTCCTCAGACTGTGGGATGCAAGCCCCTCTCAACAGGATTGTGGGTGGTACGAATTCTGTGGAAGGGGAATGGCCATGGCAGGCCAGCCTCCAAGTTCGGGGCCGCCACATTTGTGGGGGAACACTCATTGCTGACCGCTGGGTGGTCTCAGCCGCGCACTGCTTCCAGGATGAGAGGTAAATGGAAAAGGGAGGTGCTGGATAGAAAGATTTGCATTGCTTTCCATGTCATGCATGATGGGAGGCTCTTCTGACTGATGAAAATGTCATGGGGCAGCTGCACTCCTCCTCTGGCACGTCAGCCATGGTTCTCCATGGCTTGGAACTGAAGAAAGGGATTTGGATATATGCAGTATTATCTGGTGGTGTGCAGGGGAAAAGGGGCAGTGCTGGGATTCGCACAGCAGCTTCGAGGGGGCAATGATGGCAGAAGATGCTGCACAGCTCCACCTTTGTTTTGGCTCTGTGTTGTCCCCATGCTGTCACAACGATGGAGATGTCAGCATGTGCTAGGATGGGGATAGCATTACCTGCAAAGTGTGCCCTTTGGGTCCCATGCTCCTCTGCTGCATCCTACAGGCTGGCCTCCCCCTCCATCTGGACCGTTTACTTGGGTAAATACTTGCAAAATGCCACCGGCCATACAGAGGTGTCCTTCAAGGTTATCCATCTTTTTCTCCACCCTTATTACGAGGAGGACAGCCACGATTATGATGTGGCCCTGCTCCAGCTGGATCATCCTGTGATCATCTCGTCCTTAATCCAGCCCATCTGCCTCCCTGCTCCATCTCACATCTTTGAGCCTGGCCTTCTTTGCTGGATCACTGGCTGGGGGGCCCTCAAGGAAGGCGGTAGGTTCAACATCTCTTGGTGGCCTACTGCAGCAGTGCTGATGCAGAAACATAGGTTCAGATGTGTCATAGGCAGAACAGGCTTCTGTTCATCCCAAAACATTGTGCCTCCTTTACTCCTTCTGATTTTGGGTAATAGGTTGACCAAAGTTACCTGTTGAGTGCCCTGAAACCTCATGTGGAGAGGCAGGCATGGCAGTCTGGTAATCTGTATGGGGACTGTGTGTGTTTCTTCATTCAAAGACTAGAATAGTCCTTCAGGTCAGCTTAGTGCCTTCACCCACTTACAGACTTGTTCCAGCTGCTTCCGAATTGGAAACACTCAGGAGACTATACAGAACTAGACACTCCTGGTTTGTACTCTTAGACAGAAGAGCCTAACATCCATTTCAGTGAGAAACAAACCCAAGACTCTGACAACCCAGGGATTTCCCCAAAGCAGAATACTCCTTGTCCCAAAAGCTGAAGTGCCCACAAAATATCCCTGTAGGGAAAGGAGTGAAGGGGAATTTTATGCCTTCCACACAGAAAAAGTGCTCTGCTGAAATTCAGAGACTGTGATGCCAGTGGAGAGCAGAACAGAAATTCCAGTGGCAGGTTTCAGCATGCAGTGAGGTAGGCATGAGCTAGAGAAAGTTCCACCATAGCTCACCTGTGCTAATTTTGGTGCTTTACTTTTCAGGGCATATCAGCAATGTTCTGCAGAAGGTGGATGTGCAGCTCATCCAGCAGAACATCTGCAGTGAGGCTTATCACTACATGATTACTCCCAGGATGCTGTGTGCTGGGTACTACCAGGGCAAGAAGGATGCCTGCCAGGTGACAGAGTAGTTGTGGGATCAGGGTTGACTACCAGAGGTGGGATGTGTCCCAAGTCTCACAAATGCAATCCACAGCCTGAAATGAGGGAGGAAAGACCATATAAGGTCACTTTCCCAACACTTCCTCTGATCTAAGCAGCCAACAACAGCTCTCATGACCCAGCATCCTTGCCTTAGACAGGAACCAAACACAGTTAAATTATCCTTTTCTCATTTCAGCCCATTCTCCACTCTACCTCCCACTTTCAAGTCAGGTGACTACATCAGTCTCTTACACTCTCAGCCTCTTTAGCACCTGTCATACACAGTAACCTGTGTGTTCCTTCATTACTATTAATCTCAAGGAATTCCTCTTTGCTATCCCTCATGGAATCCAGTTAAATTCCAACAATTATCCTTGCCTGCCATGTATTTGGAAATGCTATACGGACCAGGAGGAATCAGTAGCACAATCAGCTTTTTGGGGATCTAGCGGAGGGGAAGGAATTTGCACGATGAAGGAATACCTATGTTTGCCCTGGAGACATCAAAAGATGTACTTTTGACATCTGCCTAAAGTACAAGGAATGTTGCAGATGTCCCAGGCATGAGTTGAGGGGATACAGGGATCTGTATACAGAGGGGCTCAAAGACAATGTAATCAGGCAGCAGCAGAAGCTGGTGGATCACCACCACTTTATTTTACTTTTCTTTTTCTAGGGTGATTCTGGAGGTCCACTGGCCTGCAAAGAACCCAGTGGCAGATGGTTTCTGGCTGGTTTGGTCAGCTGGGGAATGGGATGTGCACGTGCAAATCACTACGGAGTATACACCAGGATCACTCAAGTGCTGGGCTGGATGAACCAAACCATGAGCTGAGAAAAGTGCATCTCTGTCTTCTCCCCATCACACCTACACTCACATGGCACTCATTCCTGATCTTGCTCACTTGCCTCCCAAAGAAAGAGAGTGTGGGATGTTGTCAGACCCAGGATGCTCTTCTGAACTGGGTAAAAAAAGGCTCCTGCAGGGATTGTAGAGAAAAGCAGGCAGACCCTCTTCCCCATTAGTGCTTCCCAGGGAGCATCCCAAGGGGCTTTTAGGCCATCCATCCAAAAGCAGGGAGAAAGGAGCCAGGTGGGGGAATTGGGGGCAATGACACACAGCAATAGGCCCAAGCTCATGGTTTCTGAGAAGAGGAATAAGGGGAGCTGAACTTTCCATGAACCATGTGATTCAGCCACAGTCTTATGCTGGAACATTTGCTGAAAGAAAATGTGACTGATGTAGTTAGAGATTCCAGTAACTGTGAAATCAATCTGCCTCCCTCTTCCTTCCTGCTGCTTATCCTTCATCCCCCTTCCCCTCCCATCACTCCTCCTCTTCCATCTCCCTAATTGCTTCTTTTCTTAGCTGGCGTGTGCTGTTCAGTGTGCTGTTCAGCTCAGCCAGCCAACTCTTCACGTCTCACTGACTCCCAGGCATGAGCCCAGCATCGCACCCCCAAGCACGTGTCCTGCCTCCCTGCTGGAGCAGCACCCAGCCTCCACTGCTGCACTTCCCCCAGCAAAAATGCTGGAGCAGACTCCCATCCCTTTCCCTCAGCCCTTCTAAACACCTTTAACATCAGGGCATCTCAACCTCTTCCATCTCCTGTCTCAGGTAATGCAGGAGATGAAGGAGAAGGCTTCAGGGCAGAGGGCTTAAACTGCAACTGCTGCGGGTTTGGTTTTTTAACTAAAGGTATATGTGTGTGTATGTGTGTGTGTGTACATAATTGGCCACTCTCTGGAATTATAAATAAAATTAATTTGAGGATTTTTTTTGGCTCTAGTTTGCCTCACTCTGCTAAAAATTATCTCGAGGTTTGTATGTTTTTGACCAAACTCCAGTCCTGGCCCTGGCAACTGGCAAAAGTTTCCACACCCCTGCCCACCCCCCCACATCAGATGTCCCTGGGATCAATAAGTTTACTAGACAGGTGGTCCTCACTTACTGTTATGATTTAGGGCTGCAGATAGCAATAAGCAAACCTGCTCTGTAGCCCAGCTGCCTGCACTGGGGATGCAGCAGCACAGACACAGTGGGAAGCACCTCCAGCCCCCAGAAGATAGGCACAGTACAAGCAGCTTCTGGTGGCTCCAGGTGATGAATCCAAACTCCTTTTCTCCAACTCCCACCCCCTTACAGCTGGAATGAATTCTTGCCACTTAAAATGAGAGGCAGCAAGGAGGAACAGACTGTGAATTTTATTCAGGAGTCTTCAGACACAGCAGTGAAGCAAACACCCCGCTCCCCAAAACTGGGATCTGCTTGGTGCTGGCTGACACAACACCAGGTACCAGCATGTTCCTGGTACCCAGGCAGCACACCATTCTCCTCCTCACACTGCTGGCACAGAGCTGCTTTGGGGGGACAGGGAGGGAGGCACCAAGGAACGTGATACCCAGCACAGGGACACCTCCGAGTGATACAGGCGGCCCACAAAAGGACGGTGGCTCTGCATTTGTCCCCAGGCCACAAGCCCACACCAGTTGCCTGCAACAGTGAAAGGGCAAGGGCTGGTCCTTCCACAGCCGCCACCACCTCGGCCCACATTTGCATCCAGGGTGCTCAGGAAGGGACCGCAGGCTGCAGTGGCTGATCGCTGATGTCCCCACCAGGGGCCACTGTGACATTAAGGAAAGCCAGACTGCCAGGCATAGGAGGGGGCTGCGGGCTCCCGCTCCTACAGCAGCTCAGGGGCTCCATGGAGCATCTGCCCACCTCCAGGGCTGGAAGCTCAGGCCTCCGAAGTGAGTTTGTAAAAAAAATGGCTGCATGTGAAGAGTGAAGGGGGCTGGGGGCGTCACTGTGGGAGAAGGGGCTGCCATACACTGCAGTACAAAAATAAAGATATAAACAAAAATTGAAAAGGCTGGAGTGGAGTGTTCAGATCACATCCTCAGATTTCTGGCTTGTAACAGCTAGAGAAGGAGAGAGAAAGAGAAACACAATCAGTAGCAGGGAAAAAAAAAAAAAGCAACTGAGCATGGAGGAGAGAGAGAAACAGAAAAGAGGAAATGACAGAGGAAACACAAACAGAAGAAAAAGAAAATAAATGAGGGTGGGAAAACAGAACGAAAGGAAGAAAAATTCCATGTGATTAACATACACAGAGTCTTAAGATAATAACACTCAGGTCCCACAGCCACAGACAAGGAGGCTTTCAAAGAGAGGGAGAGAGAAATGTCAGCGAGCTAACAAGTGCCCTCCATCAGGACCGGTAGAGATTGACACTGAGCATCTCCAGTTTAACAAGAGCCTCACAGTTTTGCAGTATGGAGAGGAATCCTCCTTCTAACACTTTCCGTACCCAGCCCCACACATGTCGGCCAGCCAGCCTTCCTAAGCAGGATGCAGAGCAGAGAGCCTCATTTTGCACACAGCTGTGAGAACATCTGCAGTGGGGACCAGCTGCTTCTGCTCTGCCTTTGCCACCTTTCCTACTGCACTCTCACCCTGGCAGAGCCAGCGAGGGAAAAGCCCAGGGAAGGAAAAATAACAGACTGCCTTCTGCAAACTGCCCAGGCTGGCAGGCAAAGGAGCTGCGGACGGCAGTCTGGAGAAGCGATCTGGCATGCATGTCACGCAGACACGTGGCAAAATTCCACCCCTTCCCCGAACCACCCCTGACTGCTTTGTATTCATTTCCACCCCTCTCCCAGCTGCACTCTCCTTTCTGCTGCCAGAGCCTCTGGTCCACAGGCATAGGATCTGCTTGGCAGGTAAAGGCACGCTTAGGATCAGAATATGTAAAGCCACCTTAGGGATGAGTCAACCTCACACCTCCCTCTTTCCCCTCCCCAAGCTCTACAAACCAGGGCCATACCCACAAGAGGGAAGTGAGTCACTCATGCAGAGCTCAGGCTGGCAGGAGCTGGGAGTGCAGACAGGTAACATACCTGCAGAGGAGGAAAAGTGAGGAGCAGAGAGAGACAGGGCCCCGGGCAGAGACCACTCTGAGCCCTGAGCGACAAAGAGAGCAGAGGGAAGGATGCTGGAGGCTGGCGAGTGGGGCAATGTGGGAGGTAGATGACAGTGCTGGGATGGACACGGAAGGGAGCAGGAGGGAGGGTCCACATGAAGAGAGTTTAGCACAATCCCGAATAGATGGACAGTCTGCAAATAAAAATAAAACCGTAGATAAACCAAACAGTCAAAAATACAAAGCAGCAGCCATGGTAACAGCTCTCCCCTGTCAGCTTTATCTCCAGAGAGACTCCAACTCCTGGAGAGGACAGCCCCCACACCCCGCACCTGTTCTAGTCTTCCCTGCTGCTAGCTGTGAGCTCTCACCAGAAAGGTGGACGAGTCTATGCCTGGGGGGTTATTTTTATCATTTTCCTCAGGGATTTGCTGCACCTTTCTCCTCTGCTTCTGCTTCTGCCTCTGCCTCCTCCTCCACCTCCTGCTCTTCCTCCTCCAGGTCCTCCTCTGTGTTCTGTGGCCCAGCATGTGGGACAAAAGGAAGAAAGAGTGGAAATACTTGCAAGATGAGCCATGGCAGTTCTTTCTGACATATAACGGAACAAAGCAATTGTCAAAACACTGGGATAAAAAGGGACCTTTCCCCATGGCCAAGACAATTCTAGGTCAGGGAACAGAGAGGGTTGTTTTCCTCTGGAGTATCACACCAGGGTATCTAACCCACTTAAAAGTGCTGTGACCCCACTGTCCAACAACTGCCATCAGTTGCTAGTGTTCCTTCCTGCATCCTGGGTGTCTACGGAATGCCATGCACTGCCACATGTTTCTGTCCTTCCCTCAAAAGGGGAGCAGGACATATCTGCCCCTCAGGCTGAGACTCAAAAAGGAAAGAGAATGCTGCAAAACCTTCAGGGAAATAATGCCCCATAGGCAGTGATACACATAGAATGGGCATGAGGAGGCATGAGGGGGATGTTAGAGTAGCATGAGAGGTGCCAGGGTGACTTGCTAAAGCCATTTGCCACACAGAACCACACACCACCCCTCCAACACACACACTCCTCATTTTGGGCAACAGGTATAATGCCACGGTCCTGAACACCAGGACAGGCCCCTGTATTTCACCACTGAGGTGCCCCACTGTGGCAGGAGAAAGAGAAAAGAGAGAAGGAGCAAAGAGGAAAGGATCTCATAGGCAATGGGAGCAGGGGCATAGCAAAGTTAATCTCACCTTGGCTTTGTGGCTGGGCTCAGAGCCCACACCATTGGGAGAGTTGTACAACTCCTTGGAGACCACACACAGGAATTCTGTCTGATCCTCATTCCCATAATTATAGGATGAGCCAATGTTCACAAGCTAGAAAAGATGAGAGCAAGAATCATAAGCACATATTCCTGGAAACACCCACTCCACTTGGGGAGCAAGGCAGAAAGCCCACCACGCAGCATTAAGTCCAATCCATAATACTGTTGGAAAGGCCTCATAACTAAGCTGAGGAGACAACACAGAGAACCAGGAGAGAAGTCAGCCAGGATGCAAAACAGGCTGGCCTCACACAGCATCCTCTAAACATCTAGAAAGGGGCAAGAAAGAGTCATTGATTGAGCGTGGTGAGTCAATCAATGACTTATCCAGTATTCTCAGAGAGGGAAGGAGCCTTGCCTGGCAACTTCATGGTATCCATGATCTTTTCCCCAGAAGACAACTTATTCTCCCCCTGCTCTGCTTTACCCATACCTGCTCAAAGCGCCATCCATCTGACATTGTGGAAACCATCTGAGTGAGCTCCTCTTCCTGGCACTGCAGCACACGGTAGACATGCTTAGGAGGCACCTGAGAGCAAAATTGCAGAGCACACTGACAACTGTCACATGCTAAAAGCTGTTCCCCTCCTGCAGAATGAAGTGGTAATACCCCTCCTTGACAGACCTGTCCTCTTCCCCATGTCCCAGGTGAAAGGGGAGTGGAAACCACAGTCCAGCTTTCCCCTGTGCTGTCACTGGAGGCAAGAACAGTATCTCTCCTGAAGAGTAGGGACTGAGCTGAGTGCTCCCTGCATTGTCCCCAGAAGATACTGCCCTCTTTGATGGGGAAGTATGCACTTTTAAGTACAAAATCATTTTTGCAAATGCAGAAAATGCTGATGGGGCTTTGCAGCACAAAGTGGCTGTGCTCAGGCTTACAACCTGAGGCAGACAAGATGAAAAGTGAGATAGCAGACAATCCTCCCTCTAAGAAAGATTTTCAACGGTTGCTGGCCAAGACTGGTGTGATTGTGCCACAGGATTGATTCCTTGTCTTTATTTAACTCTTTCACAGCCATCTCTTCACCTATTTCCTCCAGGTTTCTTTACAGGTATTTCTGTGCTCTTCATTGTAATTACACACCCAGGACTCCCCAGACCAGTCCTCCTCTCCATGACACCTTTACTCTCCTCACAAACATTCATCTATATCACACAGCAACCAGCTACCTTCTTCCAAAAGCTAGAGGAGCTCACTTAGTTTCAGGGGTTACCTCCAGCATTACTTCTGGGATGCAAAGCAAGACTGCATCCCAGAAGTTACTTGTTTATTGTAACTAAACATCCATTTAGTTACTGGTTTATTGTAACTAAATTTGTTGTAGCTTGTCCCCTGCAAGATTTTTCTGCATAGGGATTAGCACATAATCTCTAATTAGTTGCTTCCTTTCATTCCTTGCTGCTTCTCTCACTCTGGACTCAAGTCTCTCCTTTTTTATACCCCCTGCTTTCCCACCCCACTCTATCTTGCCATACCTGTGCTACTGTGTAGTCCTTCTCCTCCATTCGATCCTTGATTATTCGGATCAAAGGACCAATGTTATAGAACTCAGCTTCTTCAAGGATCCCTGAGAAAGACAGACAGAAGGACCACAAAGGCAGAAAGTTAGCAGCCCATCTTTATTTTTTGACTTGCAAAAGATCAATTCTGAGCTTCACAAGGTCCATAGGGAGAAATTATATTACTGCCTTACTTTTTAACAGGCTTGAAACCCTTACTGCAGAGAATTGAAACTTAGCTCTCTGCATCTTGTTTCTAATGCTCACCCCAACTTCCTTACACTGCCTGCTACTACAGAAACAGGCACTGCCAGTGAAGGCTTGTGCTGAGGACTGCTAATACCTTTACCAGATACCTGACCAAGGAGAACAACTGTAGGCTCCAGTCTCTCTCAATGACCATTTGTCTGACCTTGCTCAGACTCTCTTATTAAGGCAGAAAAACACAACTTGCAATACTGACAAGTCACCAAAAGACCCTAGAAAAGCCTAACTTACCTCCTAGGCCACTTGGAGTTGCAGCCCCATATGACTTTAAACAATCTTTGGCTCTCTTCCCTGTGCTTCAACTTAAAACAGGTAAACACAAATGTTTTTTGTTTTTTCTCTGTGGTGTTTGCATCCATCACCTCTCTTGAGACTCACCTGTTTGCTAACAGGCCTTCAGGAAAAGGGAGGTGGTTGCCAGAGAGTCAGTGAGGGAAAGATGGCTGGAAGCCAACACTTGCATGTCCCCAGGGCAGTACAAAGAAAATACAGATGGGGAGATTGAACCTTCACTACCTGACACACCAAGACCTCTTCTGTGTCTCTCATTCAGCAATGAATTTTCTAATGGATTCGTTTTTCACCAGCCTGAATGTTTGCAGCAGGATAAAAAAAAGGCAATGCAAATGAACTGGACTCCTGTTTATGTTTCAGACTTGATATTAAAACCTGCAGATGAACTCTCTCTGACCTCAGGATTACAAGAAATGCCAAGTAGGAAACACCTCAAAATTGTGCTTATTACAATCCTGCACCATTAGTTTGGTATATTTTTGGAATTATAACTGGTAAGACTATTCTGAAGAAAACTGTCCTTGCTTTAGGTAAAAATGAGTAAGAAAGGCAAGAAGACTAATAACCATGCAGAAACTGTGCTTGGCAAGGGCTGGCCAGCACAACCTGTATTTGGAATTGGCTCCTTATTAGACCCTAGCACCCAAAAAATAACAAGGCACTGTGAACTGCTGACTGGTAACACTGTGATGTCACCAAGTCATCCTATTGGACCCACTGTCAACCTCAGATGAAGGACTGGTTTGTCTGACCTGCTCCACTGGAATTTCTGCAGTCCACAACCCATGAGAGCACAAGCAGCATGCAGTGCATATCACTGATTAATGATGGTCTTTATTAAAGTCAGTAGAAGAGATGAGCTTGGTTTTGTTTGGTCTACTGGGCTTTCACTCCTAATTAGAAACAGACATTAATAGAAAACTCAGTCATAGAGCCTGGTTAAAAGTAGATCAGGAACATGTAAAAAAATGGCTTATTGAGGCTCTGAGATCTTGCCTACTTCTGTCTTGGTGACATCTCTGCTGGACAGTTGTGATGCCACAACACCTACAATGATGCCTTCCTCGACCACTCCAAACCCCTTTATTAAAGGAGACAACATCATGTTTTGCAGAGATAGCTCTCTGAAATCCCCCCACATCAACATCCAAAACAAGAACAAGAGACAACAAGGCTGACCACAAGTCCTATTTTTTCTGACTATGGTAAGTGGGATTTTTCTGAGTTCCACAACTCACCCTCTTCAGCCATATCTTTATCCAAGACCAGCTTCCCATGACGGAGGAAATTCAGAATCGGTCCAAAGTAAGTGGGGTCCCGATCTATTAGGTATGCACCAGTTTCATCCTAGCAACAGATATAGATCACAAGGAGAAAAAACCCAAGGAAAACTTGTAACCAGCTGTCAAATGCCCTAGAATACAAGAAAATACAAACCTAAGCAAAAATGTCCACTATTTCTAAGATTCTTTGGAAACCACGGGTCCCTGAGAGTCCCTAGCCAAGTCAGTCCAGCTTGGATTTTAACTCCTGTATTGGTCTGCTCAGCATGCCCACCTCAGCATGAATAAATCCAGCTGAAAAAGCCCAAAAATAGGCCTCAGTCTGTGCAACTGTGCATCCTGGCCTGGTGCGAGAGAGCAGAGATTCCCTTACAGACACAAGGCTGAGTCAGGCAGACACAGCTGGGAAGTAAACCCAGGATGTGGGGTGACAAAGAGGAAGGAGAACAGGAGCAGAGGGGAGATGGCCTCTCTTTTTCCCAGCTCAGGAAGGCAGGTGCCAGGCTACAACAAGGTGAAATCTGGCATGGGGAAATTCTTCCCAGGAGAGCAGGGGAAAAGAGCAGGAATTCCTCACTCAGTCGCTCCTGCAGCTGCCGGAGTCTGGCTCCATCCCTGCATCCCTCCAGCCCTCCCCATGCTCGGTGGGGCACGGTGCGGGAGGCAACCCAGCTGCCTTACCCGGTCCGACTGCAGCTCCTCGCCCTGGCACAAGCGACACAGGAAAGATTTCTGCTCCCGACACAGGGTCTGCCTGGTGGTGAGGAAGACGGTGCCCCCCACATTGAGCCTCACCCACTTGGCCTGGGTGCCAGCGGGTGGCGGAATGTCCCAGGTGCAGCGTAGCCCCACGGCGCCCTGCATCTCCTCCCTGCCCTCCATCCTCATCCTCACCCCCACCTCCCCCACGGCGTGCAGGGACTGCCGCAGGTGCTGCCTGTCGGAGAATGCCGGGATCTGTAGTTTATCTGCCTCTCCCTCCGCAGCAGCCGTGTTTCTCGGGGACCAGGATCTTCCCTGTGACTACCAGGGGTGTCCTGGGAGGAGGAAGGTTGCTCGGTGCTGGAGGATATCACTGCGGCTGTTGGGCTGGGCAAAGCCACAGCTCCACAGGGCTGACACTTCCTGGCTTTTCCCCTGTTCCCGTTTTCACAGACCATGGGCCGGTCAGCACTCCGGAGGTGCAGGGTGTTATGCAAATATCGTCGGCATTTATTTCCACAGACATCCTCTCTGGCTCATTAAAAGGTTCTGGGAACTGTAGTTTCGCAGGGACATGCACAAAAGGGTGATGGGAACTGTAGTTTTCCCAGCTCGCTGCTCCTGCAGTGAGGATGCTGTAACGAAGGGCACTGCACCACACGACCCCAGTCCTGCGGCTGGTATTCTGCCTGCTTCCAGTCCTGGGTTTTGTCTGCAAGCTCCCTCGGAGACAGGAAGCATAACCTGCTCCCTGGCAGTCGGCAGATTAAGCCCCTCAGCGCTGTACTTCACAGCATTCCCTTCAGGACATCCATTACCCCAGGCTCAGCGCTCAGTGCCGCATCAGTTGCCATACTTTCTTGCAGAAAAATATGCAGACAGCTGCCTTCTTGCTAACATATGTAGGGACAGTTCTGGGAACTGTATTTTGGATCTGCATGAAGTGCTGGCAGGGGACAGGAATAATTTTTCTTCCAGCTCAGATGAGTTGCTGACTCAGCAAAGTCCCCCCCCCCCCCACCCCGGGCTGTTCTACCAGCGCAAACCCCCCGTGTCCTTCCCCTGGGCTCCTGCCATCCCTGTTTGTGTCTGAGCAACAGAGAGCTCAGACTGTAACTCAGCTCTGTGTGGAGTTTTACCTCTGCCCCAGGCATGTATCACCCGCCAAGGCTGATGTGCCAATCCCGTGTTATGGAATCCAGCCCTGCCTCTGCCACTCACTCCTGCCAGGCCGAGCCTGGTGCTCAGCAGTTCATGCCCCAGGGGACTCTGTTCAAACACACTCCTTGGCACAGACACAACCTGAACAAGCTCTCTCCAACAGCTCTGCTTTTCCCACTCCCACCTAAGCACAGCTGTGCTTGCCAGCAGCTTGAGCACATTAAGAATGGAAAGGAAAGGCTGGTGTTTCACCCCATTGTGGCTCAAAACCTTCCTCCACCTAAGCAACTTCCTGGCTCTTCCTTGACAGGGCAATGCAGCACTGCAGAGACACACAACACTTTCTTTTTCTTGCATTTAGATCTTAGTGCCTTTGGAGGTGGGGGTTTATTGAGTGAAGAGGCTGGGTAAAGAGAAACATTATGTTTTACTCTTACATTCCTTTTCTTCTTGTCCTTCCTTCTTCTTTTGCTTGCAAATCACTCCCTTTTATCACTACAGAAGAAGGCAGCATCACCCTTCCCCCAAATCACCCAGGATTTCCTTCACAAAGATGGCATGTGTACTTTGCTCTTTCTGTGGAAGAGTGCCAAGGGGAGGAGAGGAAGAGAGGGTAACACGGAAGAGGTTTCAAGATTGCTGACCTTCAGCTAATTTAAGTACAGGAACAATGCAGCTGCTCCAGGGTGTAAATTCAAATAATTTTGAACCAGCACTAGTGACCATTAACAGAGCATGAAAAAATATTTTTGTCTACCTATATGAAGAAAGCTCTGGCCAGAATTACTGCCCAGCCCTGGGACCAGTCTCCACCGAGCAGTAACATGCATCAAAGATGCTCAGACTAACACTGACCCAGGCTGAAGCATCACAGCGCAACACAGCTCTGGGCTGTCAGACTGCTTTCCTCCTAATTCTGGCTCTGAGTCAAACCACAGCAAATTGGAGACCTCTGCCCTGCACTCTGGTGTATGAGGACTACAGGACCCTGTCTGTGCTGGCTGCAGCTCCAGCAGAGCACTAGGGTGAGGATTGTGGCTCTCTGATATGAATGCAGCAGTTGTGTGGCAGCCTATAGCCCCTTATCTCCCCCTTCAAGAAATCTGCCCTGCCTTCAATTTTTTTCCCTCTTTTACCATGGGTTCACCCTCTCCTTTTCCTCCTCTCACATCCCCTCAGCCTCTTTCTCCTTTTTAAGGTCCATCTCTTGTTCTCAACACCTTATTTTCCAACCTCCCCCATGACAATGCTGCTCACGAGTCCAGGATGGTCTATATTCAAAGCATACTTTCTTCCGTCAATACAAGTCTCCACTTGTGGCTGGAACCTCAAGTCTTGCTCACCCCAGGGCCATGAGGTGAAAAGTTAATTGTTAAATCTAAAGAGGTATATTGTGAGTAAGGAAAGATGTCAAGGAACACCACTTCTACCATCAGAGTCTTTTTTCTGCAATATACAGCAAAAAAAATAATTGAAAATGCACCAGGCCAGGGATTTCCCCACAGTATGTGAAAATCCTCTTTAGGAAGAAGCCAGTGTGGGGTGATTTACCAACTGAAATGTTCTGATGAGTTGGTGGCATGGACTAAATACAGACTTGATTGCACACTGTGAGCAGATGTAGTTCTGAGATGCAATAAAGGCATTCTTGTTAAGGTCCCCTAAAATCAAGAAATAGGGCACAGGAGAGGTAAGTTTAAACAATCAGTGGTGTTTGGTCAAAGGTTTGACTCAATGATATCTTTCCCAGCCTTAAGGTTTTATGATTCTGTTACTTGTTCCTGCTGCCTTTATGACAACTGTATATAAAACACATGCACAAAAACAGAGGGAGAGCAAGCAAGAGCTTACACAGGGCTCTGTGATGCTGTAAGACCACACAACTTTGCAGTCCTCAGTGAAATCGTGGGGACCATTGTCTAGACAGACTGAGAGCAGGAGAAACTTGACAGCCACTGGATACTGAACAAGAGCTGAGGAGAACAGAGCAGGAGGTAAATTTGGAGTGTCTTGGTTCAGCAGTCAGGCCTGCAATGCAATCCTGCAGAAGGCTACACACACTGCAGTGCTCTGCAGCTTTGGTACATGGCATATGATGCATCGCTGGCATTGTAGAGCTGCTCTCATGGAACTGTTGTGTTGTGGAACAGCAATGGGAGCAGGGATCACCATGTGTTGGCACAGTTTCACCACTCTGACAGGCTGGGAGCACACGATAGGGATTACATGGCAAGAGGCACTGGAGAAGAAACCAGGAAAAACTAGTTGGCATGTCCATGTAGGATCAGTGCCACTCTCTTTTCTGCAGGAAGTGGAGAGGGCAAGACAAGTGATGCTCTGACATTTTGCCAGTAAGCCAACAGGGAATCAGGTAAATAAAATTCCCTACACTGGACTTGGGGGTGGACACAGTTGAATAACAGAGTCCAGCTTGACTGCCAGCTGAGCCAGGCATATTGAAGCATGAAGAGAAAGGCTCCATGGCATACAGGCAAGCTAATCTTCCTCCAGCTCCTTGTGCTGCATGAGGTCTGTGAGCAATGTACCTGCATTCAAAGCAGTGTGCAAAGCCTGTGTATGGATGTGCATCACACAGCACCTAGGCTGAAGACTGCTGGGAGAAGGAGACAGAATGCTTGTGTAGCACCTGGCTGTAAGCTGGGACCAGGAGAGATGGGAGGAATATGAAATGTCCCTGCAGGCAACACCAGTTACCATGGCTCATGCACAGTGCTCAGGCCAGTGGTGCTGATAGAAGAAGGGCTGCTCTAGAATTTGGAAATATTTACAGAGGAACAAAGTTTGTTTGGAAATGAAGCATGAAATACTGCAGCCTGGCTTCTAGGGAGCAGGATGGAAGAGGAAGGGAGATGACAAAGAAGACAAGTGAAGAACAGGGGATCACGGGATTACTTTTGACTAGACCAGACTGTTTGCACACAATCCAAACCTCCTTCAGGACAAAAGTATTGCAGATAGTCAAATATACCAATAAACCAATAAAGAGTTTACATGCTGGCCTGGGATTCTCAAATTTATATAGAGAGCTATAAAAACTCTAGTCTCAAGGTAGCCACAGGTCAGTGTGAACTTCCTCCTACATCAGGATTGTTGTTTAGGCTACCTTTTTGGCTACCATGAGCCCTATTCCACCAAAGATATGCTATCACCAATTCCCTGTGGCAAATTTTCCACAGGAAAGTCATTAACATTAGTGATTTGCATTATATCCACTTCCCTCCAGCATTCGGTTCCTATAGGAAACCCACCCACTGAGTCAGGGACATAAAGATCTGCAGAACATTTATAGTCCTGGTGTAAGTCCCCTCAGCTGTTCCATATGTCCAGCAGCATCTGTTATAGCTCAAAATAGGTTTTTCAAGTCTCCAGGATTTGAAAACATTGTCTCGGTCTTCACAACCTTCTCTGTGCTTTGCCTGCATCACCAGAAGGGATCTCAACTAAAAGGAGGGGGAGCATCAGAAGACACACTTGGATAGATTTTTGATACATGATATAAGAGGGAATACCCCAGAAAAACAAAGTATCTTGCTGTGGGAAAGAGGATCTCAGTTTCTCCTCTGTGGAGAAATCCAGGCAAAGTTAAGCATCTGGGACTTGCCAAAAGCTGGGAAGAATCACTGAGATTTTGTAGCAGAAAATTCAGCCCAAGGAGGGCAGATGATTACTGCCAAGCTTGGCATAAATACCAGAGAGGGGGAAGGGCCCTGCTGGATGTCATCAAGCCACAGGGGTGAAATGCAGAGCAAGGGGAGAGGGAAGTTTTCCATGTAATTTGCAATCTCCAGGTGGATGGCTGGGCTGTGCCACACACCTCCCTGCAACACACAGGACAGAAAAAAGCATCTCAGTCTAAAGAGGAAGCAGAGAGATTCCCCATTGACCCCCAAGACTGCTGGGTCAGTGGCAAAAAAGAATCAGAGTGCTTAAGATGCATCAAAAAATATTCTGGAAGGACACACAAGAGCCAGCTCATTGCATCTATTGCAAATAAGTCTGAAACAATATGTCAATTTTCCTAATAACTAAATTTTCCTGGAGAAACAGAGCAGGCACTCATCTGGCCACATAATCACAAAATCAGCCTCTCTGTGTTATTGCTGTGACAAGGGTCACTTGTTTCAGACCCCTGTGCACTCTGTACTCAGCACTTGCTGCAATACCAGCCCCAAGTCCTCCAAGAGCTGGGTTGTCAGTCTGGATGCAAGCAGGGAAATGGCAGGCTGTCAGTCAGGGTGGTCAGACCCTATGTGTGAGTGGGGAGGACACAGGAAGACAAACTGGACAGTGAAACTCTAGCTGCCCAGGAGGTGAGCCGAAACAGAACTTGCATGCATGCAAGCCAAGGCCAAGAAGAAGCAGCCAAAAGAGGTAAGAAGAAATGCAAAGAATAAACACTCAGCAATAGGGAAGAATCCAGTCCTTACAGTCAAAACTGTGACAATAAGCATTCACTGCATTCCCTAGAAAGTGCAACCCCATCATCCACAGATGTTTCTAGGTACCTGTTGCTGCAAGCCGAAGAGAAGAAACTGTCACAATAACTTTTAAGTTACCAGTAGGCCAGAAGAGATGCAGGCTTTTTTTTTTTTTTTTGGGAGGTTTCTGTGGGGTTTTTTGCTTAGTTTTCTGCATTTTTTGTAGAGGAGAAAATCCCAGACAGAACAAATTCTTGACCATTGACCATTATCAGGGATACCTGGTGTGCTTTCAACTTTTAGACATAAAAGAAAAAGGTCTTGGGGAAAAAATAGGTGCCAGTGTGGGCTACTCCTCTGAAGGTCTCAGTTCTGCTTAGTTTGTAGGGGAACATTACATGGCAAGAATGAAAATACCCATGCAGTCCATTTTCCACTATGTAAGCTGACATCCAGTGTTTCAAGAACAGAGCTGTAACCTACAACTGTGGACTGTAAGGCAAAAAAGCAAATGGACTAGGACTGAAAGCAGGAAGATGGTGCAGAGACCCAAGAGAGAGGCACTTCCTGGGTCAAAGAGCTTGTTGAGGATAAGAGGTGTGGTTCTACTCATAGAGAGAAGGAAATATCTCATCTGAATTTCACTGTGGACAAAGTGATTCCATAAAAACAGAACTCCTGAAAAGTATTCACCTAATTCACTCAGGCAAGTCCCATTGAGCAGAAAGACCTTGAAACACATTTATTTACATTGTTTAAATCCCAGAACCTTTTCTTTTTCTCAAGGGGGATTTTGGACAAAGGGGCTACAAGGCTGGCTGAGTACACATTAGAATCCAAGTACAAGAAGATATACAAATCAATCTCTAGCCTAAGTGCCAACCTGAATGCTGCATTTGCTCCTTTAACAGCCATCTATTTCCACGAAGTTTTGCATTCAAAGTGGCCATAACATGCATGGCTGGGACAGAAGCAGAGAGCATGATTATGAAGCACAGTTATATAAGTATGACCATCCCATGAATGAGCATGACTGAAGGTTTTGAGTCAGGAGCTTGGCTTAACTCAATTAATTCCCCATGCTGGCAGCAGCACTCTCTGCCATCCATCTGATACGGTGAAATGGTCACAGAATCACAGAATGGCTGAGGTTGGAAGTGACCTTGGGAGGACATCTGTTCCACCCTATCTGCTCAAGCAGGGTCACCTAGAGCTGGCTGCCCAGAACTGCTGTCATCTTCATCCTCCTAAGCAGCAGCAGGGTAAGGAGAAAGTGCCGAAGCACCATGTGCGCATGATTGTTATCCAATGCCTTCACCTCAATACACATAATCAGGAATGCTAAACCCATCTTTTCCAAATCCTGTTTCAAGGCAAGCTGCGTGCACAGCTGGGAAACAGTGCAGCTTATTACACTCTTTTCCCCTTTCCCTCAGAAATAATATTTTCAGGCTGTGCCCGCATGTACCATTCCACCCAGGCCCCGTCGTACACTGCGACATCTGGCTTGCCACAGAGGTAGGCCCCCAGAGCCACATGGCAGGCAGTGACCCCAGAGCCACATGTGGCTACCACTGGCTTTAAGAGGTCCACCTTCTTCTCCTGGAACAGAGTGCGGATTTGCTCAGGGGTCTTCTCTAAGCCAGACTCTGTGAGGAAATCAGTGAAGGGGATGCTCGTCGACCCAGGGACATGACCAGGCTCAATTCCTAAAGAAAAAACAATACAGACAGGAATTAACCTCTATTGTCTGGGACAAGTCTATTGCAAAGCCTCTTCTGTTTCACTGAGAGGAATATTTATTGCTTAGAGTATTTTGTTAAAACAAGTACATTTATTTTTGTTACACTTTGCTTTACTAGATTACCGATTACTCAGGAAGGATGGCTCTGTGTGTAACCTTCATGTTACCACATGGGCACAACCCTGTCAAGTTCCATTCTTTCCCCTAGTTCCCTCCACATCTTTCTCCCCATCAGAGCAACCCACACTGATGAAGCACCTCCACAGGCCATTCTGAGGGGAAGAGTAGCACCAGTACTTGAAGAGACCAATGAGAATCTTTGGGGTGTATCGAAAGCTATGTTCCTCACCCCAGCCCCTCATGAGGATAAAGAGATACATGGCTTCCCTACTGCTGGATTTTCCAAGAGTAGCACTTGCTAGTCAAAAGAGAAGGAGGACGGGTGGACACACTGCCTGAAGTCCCATCCCATAAAAGACAGACCTTATTTCCTAGCATTACCTCTACATGAGTCAAAGTGATGGGCACCTTAAATGAAACCCCTCTTTATAATGCCACTGTCTCATAAGGCGCATTACCATCTCGGGGCTCTGGCTCTACTCCCCGGAACCGTCCTGCAGCGCGGGCATCCACTAGCTGGAAGTGACGGGAATCCAAGTTATCTAAGACGTCCTCATATGTTTTCACCAGAGACTTGTCCAAGGAGGCATGGAACTCAGATGGAGCTACCTGGGTTTTCCCAGAGCTAAGTGCATTCCCCTCTCGCTGCCAGTTCTTCAGGCCGCCATCCAGAAGGGAGACAGCTTCGTGTCCGAAGACCCGGAACATCCACCACACGCGAGGTGCTGAGAAGAGACCTTGGTCGCTGCCATCGTACACCACAACATGGGAATCATTCCCCACACCCAGCTTCCCCACATACTCGGCAAAGTCATTAGCCTTGGGCAGCATGTGATCGTAAGGCGAGGTTCGGTCACTGCACTGGTCAATGTCGAAGAAAACCGCACCAGGGATGTGGCGCTCCTCAAACTCCCGCTTCGGATCGCGCTTCATCTTTGGCAAGTACCAGGATGCATCCACGATTCTCAAGGCCAGGCCAGCTTGCTGGGACTTGATGGCTTCTGAAAGCCATTTTGCAGACACCAGAGCTCGGTAAAGGAGTTGTTGCGACATCGCTCCTGAGTCCTGGCTAAGATTAGCCAATTTCTGGGTTCTGCCTGAGTCCACCTGACTGCAGAAGGTAGAGAGTCACAAATTAGAGACCAGTCTTTCAAAAAGCAACTGGACAAAGATACATTTTGGGACCCGTGTCTGTATTGAGGTGCTGGCTAAGCCTACAATGAAGGGCTTGAAATGCTCCAGCCCTGCAAGTAGTTTCCCAGAGCTCATCCCAAACAGTGCCCCGAGCGGGACAGCCACGGCAGTCGTGCCCTGCGCCCGGCCCCATGCAGCTCCTCTGACCCCATCCAGGGACGCCAGCCAGCAGCGACAGCAGCCAGAGCGGAGCGGGGCAGCCCCAAGGACCAAGCGCTCGGCGGTCAGGCACGGCCCCACGCCTCTGCCCGCCCCGGAGCACACCTGCAGCCCGGGCCTTACCGGGGCCCCGCCGCCGCCCGCTGCGAGCCCCCCCGGCTCGGCGGGGCCGCGATTGCCGCCGCTTCGCCGCGTACCTCCGCGCTGGGCCTCGCTGCCCGCCAGCCACGGCGCCGCCGGAGGGCGGGAGCGCTCGCAGCGGGCCGGTCCCGGCCGTGCGGCCGCCTCCGTGCCGCCCCTCGGGCCGCGCCTCCCGCCGCCATTTCGCGTGTGTCGGGCCGTGTCGGGCCGTGTGTGTGAGGGGAGCGCAGCCCGGGCGGCGCCCCCGCCGGTCCCCCGAGATGGCGCGGCAGAGCCTCAGCCGGGCGCTGGTCACGGCCTCCTGGCTGGCGGAGGCGGTGCGGGCCGGGCGGGTGGGCGCCGGCCTGCGGGTGCTGGACGCCTCCTGGTACCCCCCCAAGGAGCGAAACGCCCGGCAGGAGTTCAAGGAGAGGCACATCCCCGGGGCGTCCTTCTTCGACATCGAGGAGTGCCGGGACAAGTCCTCCCCCTACGACTTCATGCTGCCCAGCGAGTCCCACTTCGCCGACTACGTGGGGGGGCTGGGGGTCAGCAATGACACCCACGTGGTGGTGTACGACGGGGACGAGGTGGGCACCTTCTACGCCCCCCGCGCCTGGTGGATGTTCCGGGCCTTTGGGCACAAGGAAGTCTCTGTGCTGAATGGTGGCTTCAAGAATTGGGTGAAGGAGGGGCACCCCGTCACGGCGGAGGTCACCCAGCCCACCCCGGCTGTCTTTAAGGCCAGGCTGAACAGGGCCCTGGTGAAGACTTTTGAGGAGATGGTACAGAACGTGTCGTCCCTAAACTTCCAGGTGGTGGATTCCCGCCCCGAGGGCCGGTTTCGGGGGACAGAGCTGGACCAAGGTAATGGAGGTGGGACTGGCACCTGCCCCAGAATGGGATGAATGTCAATAGTAGACTGGGAGAAAGAACTCCTGACAGCCATCTAACAGATTTTCCTAATGCGCAGGCATGCCTCAGCCCGACTCATTGATTACCTTAAGGGATCCACAGTTGCACGTTCAGACCCCAGTGCCATCACTGAATGCTTTTGTTGCAGTTGGCTGTAAAGCTGCAGGAGGAAATAGCAGAAAAGGGCTGCAGTCATTTGGTTCCAGGATCTCCCATCCCACACCCTGCAGAAGTTTATCAAAATGCAAACATGGGAGGTGAGAGCTCCCAGGGGTTTGTTCAGGGTCCTATCTAAAACCAGCAGACACATAAAAACTATCAGTATTCATACAGGCGCCTCTCACCATAATGAGTGCGCAAGCAAAAGCCAAGGTTTTGGGTAATACAGTAACCCAAGGGACATTCTCCTTATCACTCTGACTTCCAGCAAATAGAGAATTTGCTTGAGCTGACCTTTGTTCTTTTGCTTATGTAAGAAAAGTCTGAAGCCTTTAGCAAATGTATGGGGTGTCAGCCTCTCTCTTTTAGGTGCCCCAAGTTACAGTAACAAAAACTGATTTCGTTACCTCGGTGAAACACTGGACACCCAAGCAGCAGGGTTGGAAGTCCTGTGCAGTGGGGACAGCAGGTACAGCAGTGTGCCTGGAATGAAATTGAAGTTAGTTAAAGGAGGCCCTTGCTGTGTAATTGAAGCCTTGGTGTATCCCAGAATAACCTCCCTTCTGAAAGGGTATAAAGGAAACTTTCCTGACTGACCATTCAGGAGGCACTCTGGCAATCACACTCCCACCACCAGAGACTTTAACTGCTGGGACCAAAGCCCCTTTTCAGCAGGCAGTTCCACTGAACTGATGGGTGCCCCACTTGACTACCTACACACCCCACACACACTCTCACACCAGGTTTTCTTACCGTCTCTAGCCTGGGTTTTCCTTAGCAGAGCCTCAAAACCTGGTTCCTTAAAGCAAATTATTAACAGTACAGTAACACAGAAACAGCCTGAGCTTGTGCTTCCAAGGAGGGACCTAAACAAAGGAAGCACTGAACTTTTATGCTCTCCCAGTCTACATGTGTCAAAGTCCTGGCTCTTCCTGCTGAGTCCTCGGCTCCTGCTGTGTCTCAGTGTCCGGTCACCTGGCTGTGCCACAGGTCCTGTGCCCTCTGTTGTGCCAAGGGTCAGCGCCAGTTCCTGGCCTCTTGCCTGGGGCTCTCATGGCCCAGAGCCCAACCTGCGGCTGACACTGCAGCTGCACACCGAGCTACCAGCACTGAATATGTTCCTCAGCAAGGGAATCACAGAAATGGTTGGAAAAGAGTTTCTAGAAGGTAAAGCACAGAAAAGCTCGGCAGCAGCTGTTGGGTCTTGAGCAGAGCCCATCCTGCTGGTATGTGCAGAGGGTTTCTGTGGTCCCCCGGCTGTGCTGCCCTGCTGCCCCACAGGTTGTTGTCATTCTGTCCTAGTTGTTCATGTGTGTGTGTGTGTTGCTCTACAGCCAGTTAGTGTGACAACACATCCTGAAGTACATTCCAAACTTCAGGAGCATTTGGCTGTAACTGTAAACATGGGTGGCCCAGGTGTCTACAGGGAGCCCCTCAACACATTTGATCTGCAGAAAGACAATGTGGAACGTGGGAGAGGTAATGGGAGTGATGGAGGAGACTGTGTCTGGGGAAAGGGAAAGTTAGGCTTATCACTCATTCTATTTCTTCTCCTACCACAGCCCATCAAAGTGAAGGTTGAATTTTACCCTCAAGATGTGACTAAAATGCTCCTTGCTGGGAGCTGGTGGATTTTGCATTCTTTCCCAAGGTGAGAGTTGTCTCCAGATGACAAATACCGCAGACCCAACAGCATCTTCAAAACAGATTTTTCCTTTGAAATGAGTCAGCATGGAACAGCTTATTTGTGGTGGTCCAGTTTTGCTTCCCACAGCAGATCCAGCAGGATAAGCACTCCAGCTGCAGCTGCTCATTCCGCAGGAGCTTGACAGCTCTCTGAACCAAACTAGCCAGCAGCAGCACATCAGCCAGCAGTGGGTAAAGGACAGTGCTTACACCTAAAAGAGCAATTTGAAATCAATGCTGATTAATTGCAGGGGTCATCCAATCACGGAGGACGCAATTTAGAGAAGACTAATGGTCTTCAGGTTAAGGAACTTGCTGCCTTCTCAGGTGATTTCAGTTTAATTATTGCTTCAGTTCTTGACTTCCTAATTAAGTCAATTAATCTCTCCTGTTCTGTGAACTTCATCTCTAGAAGAGGCTAATTGCAGCTGACTCTTTTTCCTCTTTAGTTTTTCAATTCTTTGTGGTAAGAATTAATTGTCCCTGTTTTACTTTTATCCTTGCTGGGATTTAGACCTCTGTACTGGTTAAGATAAGCCATAATATAGGACTAACTTTTATTTGGTGGGAGAGGTTCACCAAAGTTGCCAGAGTAGAAAGAAGTGGACATCTCTATAGGCTAGGTCTCATAGGTCTTAAATGCAGGTATTGCTTTGGGTGAAAAGCTTGAATGTTCATGCAGAGTGTGCAGCATAAGCCTGGCAGATGTGCAGCCCTGACCTATGCACTGAGGAGTTTGAGGTGTCCCTGCACAGTGCTCTGTTTCTGCAGGAACTAGCTGTCCAGGGCTGATTATAAAAATAATTACATGATGGTTGCCAGTGCTGATCCTCTCTGGCTGTTGGGCACTGAAAACTGATGAACAAGAATTATATTAACCAAATGCATACAGAAAAGTTGTGAATTTCTGAATTCTTTTGCAGACATCTGAGAAAAGAGGGGAAAGTTGCCAGGCAAGAACTCTGTCATCTAAAAAAAGAGAGCAAACCCAAAATAATTAAATGAACTTACAGGTATTTTTCTTCTCATTCTCAGCCCTGAAGTAGACATTGTCTCCCTTTTCCATGTAGAACTCTTCAGATTTTGCCCATTTCCCCAGCTCTCTGTCCTGCCTGCCCCAAACATAAAGCTTTTGCTAATCTTGACTGTTCAGTGGGAATGAGAATGAAATGTACATTTTTCTTTCTCCTCTCCTCCGAGAGAATTTTGCAGCTGGGAGTGGACTGGCTTTGCTTTGATCATGTAATAATACTTGAGGCACAGGAATGGAGAGTGAGAGACTTTATCAAAGTCTGTTTCAACCCACAGGAACCTACGAGGACTTTCAGAGAGCTGGCCAGGACCAAGCTTAAAGTGTTTCTTACAATGTGTTCATAGTAGGTTAGACAAGATCAGTAATTGTCTCTTCTAAGACATACCATTTGAATGGAAGAGAGAGATAAACAAAGAGGCAACAGAGGAGGCATTTGGAAAAGAACTATCTGCAGCCAGCACACTCCAAAGCCACAGGGAGTTAAATATGGGCTGAGCAAATCTTTATCTTTTTGACATTAAGAAATTCCATCTGGAGCTTTCATCGCAAAGGGAAGGCTAGAGAGGAGGGGCTGTGGTCTTAGATAAATAGCCAACAATAAAAACAATACGTAAGCAGAGAATCTAACAGATGTGGAAAAGGGGATTAAGTAGTGAAGAAGATAACATTACAGGTTATAAATTGTGAGGAAGGATTGCCAGACACCAAGCTGAGTGAGACTTGGCAAAAGGAATTAAATAACAAAATCTTCTGGAACAGAGTGAACAAAAGAGAACACGGAGAGAAAGAATAAATAAGGTTGCTGTGCAGTTAGCAGGGGTTCCAGGTGGAAGATTACTTGTGTGTGTTCTCAGCATTATACTGAGCCCTGAGTCTGTGCCACCATGTTTTCTTCTCTCCTAAGGATAATTCTGCAGAGCAGAGAGAGGGCTAACCAAAAGATATTCGCATGCTCAAATCAGTGATGATCTCAATCCCAAATATGTGTCAAAAATCAGTCATGTGACATTGGAACTTCTTGAGGCAAGAATGTGATACATTTATTCAAAGCATGGTTCTGTGGGACAGAAACAATTGCAAACTTCATATTTAGAATAGGGGGTACAGCACAACCTAGGCAGCTGCTGGTCTTCGAACGTGGATAGACTGGGAAGCTTTCAAAAAACTCTTCAAGAAAAATTATTTTAAACAAAGGCAAAATTGAGTAAAATAAGTTGGTAGACTTGCACTTCACCCAAGGGCTTTATTTCCATGCCAACAGAATTGGTTGGGCAGATAAGAGAAATGGAAACGTACATGTCTGGAAGTAATGTCTGATCTTTCCTTCCAGCCATTGGAAGCATCTACAAGGTAGACTTGTGCCATTTGCAATTTATTAATGCTTTGGGCATAACATTAGAGGGGCATTTATTAGGTCAATATGAGGAGAGGGCAAATAGCACAAGTATTGTTAGATTTTAAAAATTGACTGAAAAGGAGATAAGTGAGGTAAGAACAGCATGTACTGAAAGAAGATCTGTGGGGCTGGAAGTTGCCAGCATGGTCCCATCATTAAGCTTACCTCTTTTGTTTTGTATTTTCCTGAATCAGCTAGGCTTTGAAATACGGAGTTGTTACTGAAATGTGCTGTGGCACAGCCATGGGAAAGCCTAAATGATCACATGTGGAGTATTGTGTGAGGTGTCACCTGCAGATATACGGGTGACAGGAAGTATAACACTACAGAGAGCAAACTCGAATGCTTAGTAGCCCAAAACACTGAACTGCTTCTGTTTCTCCTACAAGCTGATAACCCACATTTGGAAGCAATAGAAGAGGGTAAGACTTGAATTAATTAGTTGGGTGCAGGAGCATCACATGTGATTTAACCTTGGCAGCAGCCTTGGCAGCTCCTGTCTGCCAGCTGTGATGTAGGAAATGCCACTTCTTTGTCCAGAAGCCTGCTGGATACCTAGAGCTGTTTCTAGGGTGGCCAAGCCAGAGAAAAGTGTATCTAATTGGCTCTTACTGTGTTTAGGCTAAGGACATGAGGTTGTTGGGAGTGCTGAGGGCTTGCCATCAGTCTGTTGGAGCAATAGCAGAAGGGAAGAAAAACTATTTCAGCCATAGGGCAGTGTTAGCTCAAGCATAAATGGTGTATGGACTGACTGTGTTCTGAACACTGGAAATTAATGTTTCTCTTCACATGAACCAGGAGGTGCTTCAGTGGGAAGGTTCATGACAAGAATCCATACTGTTTCTGAGATGGATGCTTTTTTGGGAGGCAGCTTATAAAATGATTATTGAGGTAGCTGAGGCCCAGGCTCTGTAGTCCTAGGGTTCCTTCCTGGAATTTCTGACAGTGACTGCATGAATCTGGTGTGGAGTGTCCTCTGTTTCATATGGTACAGGAGCAGATATATCCTCTCCCCTGTTCAGATTCCAGCTGCATCCAGCCTTGCCTTCCAGTCCTATGTTTCTCTCTCTTGACCTAGCAGAGAGAGATTATAAAGCTTCCTCAGCCACTTGAGAGCACTTCTTAGGCAGTCCAAAGTGATTGTGGTTGTGCAGTTTCAGCTCTTTTTCTCAGCTGAACACCCACATATGTGAATAAATGCAGTTTCTACAGAATTCCCCATCTTTCACCCACAGAGTGCAAGCACTGGTCTCTGACTCCAACAGACTTTTGAATCTCTGGAGCAATAAAGTCTCCCTATAGATCAAAGTTGAAACTGCTCAAAAATGAGTGTTTTTTTCAGATCTGCTCAGCTCCTACCTGAAGAGTTGTTTAAGGGTGGTGAATTGTCAGTCTCCAGTAAGAGAGGGGCACAAACCTGTTTTAAGGTGTGTGAAAAGTCTAGCGAAGCAATAATGATGATGGTGCCTGGGACACCTAGAAAGTGAATCGATGGCCCAGCAACCTTCTTTGAGCAAGAGTTCCCTTCTAGTTCATCCTCCAGGACTTCCTGACCTCAGTACAATTCCCAGTGCCCTAGGATGGCTCACAGAATTGTGTGTATTGGGGGGATCACCAGTAGTGCAGCATAACCTTGCAGAAATCCTTTGATGAAAGCATCCTTTTTCATTTACTCTGTGGGAAAGTGGTAGCCTAACCCAGGTATTTAAGAGGCTTCAGTAAGCAGCTTTGCAGTCTGAGAACTATACACAAGGTTTTCTCAGTTTTTGCTTCATTTTTTATTTCCTCTCCGTCATACAGACACTGTATTGATGAGTGAGTTTTGCAGTTCTCTACTCAAGTGATGAGCTGTTGTCTTCTGGGACTGGAAAAAATGTGGTGAAACCATCAGTCCAAAATACTGCCTCTTTTATTTTTTCTTTTCCTTTTTAAATGTTAGTCCCTGCAGAAGTCAGCAGTTTTTCTCCCAACTTCTCTCAGTAATGCTAAACATTTCTGAAGGATGCATGAGGTGACTCCTAGACAACTGTGCCGTATTTTTAATGCACTCAGGGAGGATGAATCAAGAGACAAAGAGGGTCCATCTGGAACAGGAAGAGAACTTGTGAAGCTGACTCAGGGCAGCTTTGATTGTCTTTAGGCTCTGTGTTTGTCCAGCAGAGCAAAAATTCCCTTCAATTCCGTGCCAAAGCTGTTTTCCCCTTATATCTCACTATGTCATGTTACCACTCTGCATAGTGATGAAACTGCAGAGTCATTATGTATGATGTCAGTCTCTGTCTAGGTATAGTTTAGTCATTTGACTGTAACAAAGTCAAATTATTAAACTGCCCCAATCACTCCCATCTCCCAAGACCAGTCATCCCAATGATTTGGGCAAGTAGAAAGCTGCCAGTGGAACAGATTACTGTTCATGTGATTTTTTTCAGATCCGTCTCCTTA